GTAGGAAACAAGAGCTATCTCTGAGCACTGATGCTTGCTAGCCATTTTTCTCCCCGTGGAGATACTTAGGACCAGGTAGACAGCACAGTGACTTCCTCCTACCCGTCTCCTCGCGTGGCTATCTAGTGGTTTAATCCTTGCAACATTTATAAAATTGGTGTTGTCACCCTTAGTTTACAGATAAGAAAAATTGAGGCTTAAAGGAATTAAATTGTTCAACTTCGTCCAGCTAACAAGTGGTGACCCAGGAATATGAACCACAATCTGTCTGGTTTCGCTCTGTCTCCCTCATTCCCTCCCAGGCTGGTTTAGTGATGCCTGCAACTTTGGGAGCTTGTCAGAAGCATTCAAAATCCACCTATTTTGGATCAGGCCCAGAGCAGAACAGAAAAAGCCTGCCACCTTGAGGCGCCCCCGGCGCGAGGGCATGGGGTTGCCACCATTGTATTCCTGGCAACTTTGACTCTCAGAGTAGCACCACTCCCCTCCCCTCAGCCACTCCTTGCAGAGGCTCTGTGGGACGTGGGACCACTCAGAAAGGACAGACAGAATCCATCAGCGCCAAACACAAGAAGAGGGACACTATCTTTGTGGAAATAAAAGTGAAGAAAGGGAGTCATTGTCCTATAATTTTATCCCCCCCCAAAAAAAACAATGCAGGTGTATATTTTGCATTTGAGGTCCATTTGGGTATGACTTACAAAGATAGTTTCTGTTCATTTGCCTGCTTTTGAGTAAAGAAAAGTCACGCTCAGAGGTTCTGGTATCATATAAATTAAAGATATGGTAGTATCTCATTGAAATTCCACAGATGTGCCGATTCCACCCTAGGATTTCTCTCTTCAAGAGGTTTCTTTCACGGTGCTGCTGCTGACAGCAGCCTTCATTTGATTATTTATCTAATCAAGATTCACCTTCAGTCTAAGCTCAGTAAGTCTGCTGCTAGTGGAGTTAGCATTACACGGAAGCGAGATGGAGAATGTGTCCCGGCATTGGCAGCCTAGAGAGAGAATGCCAGGAAGCCGCCGGCACCCTTGAGCTCAGAGTGTGAGCTGTCTGCCAGTCAAAGAGAAAGGGCACATGGTTTTGTAGAATGAGCGCTGAATGCTGTAATTAAATACGCTCAGTCACAGAGCAACGAAAACGACCAGCTCTCACTCCAAAAAATCAAGCCATTCTTTCTGGGCGTCATGTTGGGGAAGCTCTTCTCTTTTTCCCCTTTGTTTCTGCCCTTTCCTAATCCCAACAGCCCTTGGGGAAGCTTTCCCAAGGGTCTTTATGTGGAACTTCTGAGTTCGATTGGTACTCTGTGTGTCCCAGCCTGGCTCCCAGTGCCTTGCATTTGACCTGTCTACTTCACCTACTGGTTCTAAAGTAGCTGTGATACAGCTGGCCCAATAGTCTTACTGGATCTACAGAAACTGACCACTAAATTCATCTTACCTTATTGGTGGTTGCTGGGTTCAACTGCTACAGATAAATCCTCTTCCTTAAGGCCTCCTGCCCCACGTACAGGAAGTTCCACTTTTTGTTAGACTAAGAACCCCCTCCCATGTTGAAAGTAGACCCTGGACACCTGGACTGTGCAGGTAGCTGAGGCCAGTGTGCCCCTCTTTGGGAGCGTGGCAGCTCAGACCTGACGTTGTAATTACCCAAATTATTCATCCAGTTGGATGACAGAAAGCAGCTGAGAGCTTCCTGAGTTTATAGCCTCAGTCCCTGGATTCACACTGAGACAGGAAACAGACCAGACTCCATCAGCAAGGACAAAAAAAGCAACTTTCCTCCAAAGGTCTCTCCCATCACCTCTGACGCCCGGAATGAGCCCCAAACGTGTTGAGGATAGGCTGTTCCCATCAGTCCTCTGTCCATTAAGCACTGGATCTGTAAGGCGCATTAAAAAGTGGCCTTTGCTCGCAGTGAGCATACAGTACACTGGCTTGGAAGACAGGGAAAGCATATGGAAAGACACATCTGTAGCTTGAGAGATGAGCGAAATGATTGCCAATGATCACAGCGGACAGATGTCCGAGTCATATGGCCTCACGTTCAGACCTGTCGTCCTTATTACAGAGGCGTGCTCCTGGAGCCGGTGCTGGATCGTAGCGTCTAAGTGGAATTAGTGTCCAGCACAAGCAGAGGAAGCGCTGTTGCTTAGAAACCTTCCAGGAGCAAAGGCCCGTGGCCTGCTGTACCAGCCGCGCGGGGCAGGGATGTCACAGTGGAGACTCCCTTCTTGACCGTGGCGTTTCTGTGCTCCGTTCTCTGCAGGTGGAATTGGCTGTGTCGGCCGTGACAAGGGCCAGGTTCGAAAATGCCTCGATGTGGTGGAGATCTACAACCCGGATGGGGACTTCTGGCGAGAGGGCCCGCCCATGCCGCATCCCATCCTCTCACTCAGAACCAACTCCACCAATGCGGGAGCCGTGGACGGGAAGCTGTATGTCTGCGGGGGCTTCCACGGAGCAGGTACTGGTCTACATTTACACTTTCGTGGCCTCTTGTGGAATTGATTGTGGCCTCCCTTGGCTGACCTGATCACTGGGGCATGGCTTTTAGACCTGGGACTTCAGGTCTACAAAATGAAGTGACGACATCCCCAGCTGTCCTGAGGGTTCAAGGGCACACGGTAGACCCACAACGCACAGCGGTCGAATGTGAGGTGGACAGAGATGGGAGAGAATGACTGGGGCCTGGCGATAGTATTATAGGAGAGATCTTAATACAGGAAGGACAGATAGAAGTGGAGAGATGACAAGAAGCATGGAGGTCTTTGTTTTTTATTTTATCTTATTTTATTTTTTTTGCGGGACTGGCGTTTGAACTCGGGGCTTCATGCTTGCTAGGCAGAAGCTCTACTACTTGAGCCACGCCTCCAGCTCTTTTTGCTCTGGTTATTTTGGAGATAGGCTCTCATTTTTTGCCCAGTCTTACCTGGACCAGGAGCCTCCTATTTTAAGCCTCTCTCCCTTACCTGGGATGACAGGTACATGTCACTACACCTGGTTTCTTTCCATTGAGATGGGGGGTCTCACAAACTTGCTGCCTGGGCTGGCCTGCAACCGTGATCATCTGGATTTCAGCCTCCCAAGTAACGAGGATTACAGGGATGAGCCACTGGCACCCGGCAGCCCTGGATTTTGTCTTTTTTTTTTTTTCTTTTTGGTGGAACTGGTGTTCAAACTCAGGGCTTCGCACTTGCAAAGCAGGTGCTCTATACTGCTTGAGCCACTCCTCCAGCCCCTTTATTTGTCTTTATCAATTCACTCAGATACCCTCACGCTACCCCTCTACCACCACTTGAAATACTTTTCTCGAAAGCCTTTCTTAAGTAGTATCTAATGCATGTATTTGTTTGTAAACTTAGTTTCCATATATCCAGTGGAAGCCTCGTTGCTGTCTGCAGTGTGGATTTATAATCTTAATGTAACAGGGGAGTTTAAAATATGCAAAGATCTGGTAGGCCAGTGTCTCCAAAGTCTGATGAGTGGCATCAGTAAAAAAGGCAAAGCGCAGTTACGTTAGAAACGACTGTTTGATTCTGACTCACTAACAGGAGCGCTGGGCCAGTAATATCCAGGCAGCAAGTGTCCCGAGAGCACTCGGTTTGGAGGAGAGCCAGATTAAGTAGTACTGACAGCGCCGAGTGCAGCCTTCTGTAGAGTGCACAATTTCATGCAACTTAAAACTTTCACTGTGAATTAAAAGACATCAGGAGATGTCGGAATCAAATGCAGTGAGAAGACTTCATTTGGTTCTGTTTTTATTTTTTTTTTTAATTTGGAGGTATTGGGTTTCAATTCAGGCCTCAAGCTTGCAAGGCAGGTGCTTTATGTGAGCCACTCCCCAGCCCTTTTTGCTTTAGATATTTTTCAGATAGGGTCTCACACTTTTCCCAGGCCAGCCTTGGATTGTGGTCCTCCTACCTCTGCCTCCTGAGTAGCTGGGATTACAGGTATTTGCCACCATGCCTGTCCCTCATTTACAAATCTTCTATAAAACAGTATTTTTCAGATGATCTAGGAAATGTGAATATAGACCAGGGTGTTGGATGATATTAGGAATTATTAATTTTAGGGGTGCTACACTTTTTTACATAGAAGAAAAAGGTTCTGAACTATTAGGGATTGCTTAGAAATATTTGTAGATGGGAATGATAATGCTGTCTGAATGTACTTTAAACTACAGCAGTTTTTAATGGGAGGGGCAACAATAATACACTTTGCAACCTTAGTAAATGTTGATTATGGTTGAAGCTGGATAATGGGTACTTGAAACTGTATTCCTTTTACTATTTTACTGCTGTGTGCTTACTGTCTTAATAACTCTTGCATCTTGAACATCCCATGCTACGTGTCATAGCTCAGCACAGAGGCACAGAGGTGCGAGCTCTGCCCGCATGGGGACGAGGCAGGAGAGAGGCCAGGAAAGAGCCCAGGCCCTGGGCCACACCCAGCAGGGCTCCTCCAGCCCCCAGCTTTTAGCTTCCTCTGGACCAAAAGAGAATACGAGGGGCAGCCTCCACCCCTCAGAGGGACGGGTGGTGGTTGTTGTGTCAAAGGAGCTGGAAGACATCCTGACTCCTCCTTGGCCCTTACCTTATCTCGCTCTGCATAATACTGAGTTAGAGAATTGGCACCTCCAGTTCTTAAAACACATACAAGAAGCCCACCCTGTGAGCCACCCTCTCCTCTTGGTCTGTAGAGGACTGATAATGCTTTCGGCGGGTTGGGCTCTGGCTCCCACGTCCTTTTCAATTATTGGGTAGAGGCAGATGGTCTGTGACTGGCTGGGTGAGTTGTCTCAAGGACAGTATAATCTACAGGTCCCATCATCACACCTAAACAGACGCTGAGTTTTCTCTCCTCATGTGACAACAAATAAATAGGACCTACTTGTCCCTCTTACTTATTCAGAAAACCACTGTCAAGAAATTAATCTCTTGGGACTTGGGGAGGGGGATGTAGGAGGGGGGGTAACTTCACCTGTGATATATTGTGAGGACTTTTGTAAATGTCACAATGCACCCCCTACAACAACCATACGATAATAAAAATATAAAAAAGAAAAATTAATCTCTTGGGATTGGAGACATAGCTCAAGAGGTAGAGCACCTGAATTCAAACCTCAAACCACCAAAAACAAAAGGTAAGATAGAAAATAATCTCTTTTTAGTTCAATAAAAGTTGATTGAAACATTCTGTGACTAGACTTCAAGATCCAGTCTTGAGATGTCCAACTTTTAATAATGTTTTTGCATAATGATAGATGCAAAAACGTCTAAAAACAAATACAGTAATTTGGTTTGGTTACAAAGTAAATTGGAGCCCTGGGCAAATAATTCAGGAGACCCTATCTCAAAAATACCCAACACAGAAAAGGGCTAGTAGAGTGACCCACGTGGCAGAGCACTTGCCTAGCAAGCATGAGGTCCTGAGTTTACACCCCAGTGCTGCCAAAAAAAAAGAAAAAGAAGAAAAAGAAATTTGATACTTGTGTTTTCTCTCCAAGTCCCCATAAAATGACAGTAAGTGGAAGAATCTAGTCAAAGAGAGGAGAGAGGACAACAGCAACACAGTTTTTGAAACTGGAAAGTAGTTGAGTGAACCATAACTAAGGAGACCTCAGAAAGTTTGGTCAAACTGGCCACAAGAAAGACAGCACCCACACAGAAGCCTGGTTCATACCACAGAGCCAGACAACCTCAGGAGTCCTCAGCAGCGGGTAACTCTGGACAAGGGGATGAAGAAGATGGTGAAAGACAAGCAAGAAGGAGCCTGTGGCCTGTCCTGCTGCCAGTGTGAAACGAAGCATCCACCCAGAGACACCGGGTGAGTCCAGGGTTGAGGCCGGGCATCTGCCTGAAAGCCAGGAGTGCAAGTGAAAGGCTGCAAGCTCACTGTGGAGATCCCCGCTCTCTTCCCTTCCTGGACCCCAGAATGTGAGCCCCAAAATGAGGCATAGCCAAATTAGGCAACCTCTAGAGAACCACAGAAAGAGCTTCCGTGGTATCCACTCTTTTTTTTGAGACACGATCTTGCTATATAGCCCAAGCTGGCCTCAAACTCAAGGTCTTCCTACCTCCACCTGGAATTACAGTTGTGTTACTTTTTTCTTTCTTTTTTTTTTTTTTGGTGGGACTGGGGTTTGAACTCAGGGCTCCACACTATCAAAGCAGGTGCTCTACCACTTGAACCACTCCTCCAGTCCATTTCACTCTGGTTATTTTGGAGATGGAGTCTTCAGAACTATTTGCCCAGGCTGGCCTTGAACCACAATCCTCCCTATCTCAGTAGCTGGGATTACAGGCATGAGCCACTAGCGCCAACTCAGTTATGTTTTTCTCAAAGATGAGCAAACAGCTAAGGATCTCGAGACAGTTGAGGAAAGCATGATGCATACAAATGACCGAAATAAAAAGAGAAGCCACCTCAAAGAAACAGGGACTATGCCCGAAGTCTCCCCAGAGAATGTGAAAATAATCTGTCAATGGAACAGGAAAAGAATAGGAAAGCGATGTCCTGGAAATTAAAGCAGGGAAGAAATTGAATCACAGTGGGAAATGTGGAGGGTAGACTGGCGGAAATGTCCCAGAAAGCAGAGCAAAAACCAGCGTGATCAGAAGTGAATGAGAAATTAAGTCCAGGAGATCCAACATCTGAATAATTGGAGCTGTGTCAAAAGAGAAGAGACAAAACAGAGAAGAATAAGTCGTCTGCGAAGTGAACGAGAGAAATGCCCCAGAGCTGAAGTTGTCAGATGGAAGGAAGACGCCACGTGCCCAGCACAAGATAAAAACAGAGCTGAACAAAAGCACCTCATTGTGACGCTAGAGGACATCAGGAAACATACAAGCTCACAAAGCCTTCTAGAGAGGGTAGCAAGAATCAGACGGCAGACTACGACCTCGGAAGCTGCAAGAAAATGAAGCAGACCTCCTCAAACGGGAAAATTACTTTCCACCCCTGCAATCTGTTGACCAAGTGTGAGGGAATGTTTTCAGACGTACAGTGGCTCAAAAATGCTTTCTCCTGTGGGCCCTTTTATCGAGATATCAAAAACGAGCATGTAAACCAAGAAGTGGAGACCCAGGAAACAGGGCTGCACACAGTGGAGAGAAAGGAAACCCCGGGAGGGCATTGAGGGCAGACCCAGGAAGACAGCAGGCCTGGAGACAGCAGTGCAGACAGAGCTGGCAGAGGCTCTGGGGAGACATCTCCAGGAGAGACGTGGGTCAGGTCTTAATGTTTGAAAGAAAACTTAGACTAACCAAAAAGAAAGCGCTTGCAAACCATATGTCTGGTAAGAGCAACGAAGAAATCTTACAACTCCATAATAAAATAATAAAAAAGACAAAACACAAATTTTTCATAGACCAAAGACCCAAAAGACTATAAACAAAAGGCCAAGGGCTCAGCCTCCTAGCCATTAAGGAACTGTGCACCAGGGCCACAATGAAGCCAGACTTG